GATGGACATGACCGGTGTCAAAGACAGTCATAAGCCGCCAAGGTCAGGAGAACTGCAAGGTTTTGCAATATGCTTGAAAATGGGCGTAATTTAGCTACGGAAAGTTTCAGTGTCGCGCTCCCAGCCGGTCACAAAGTATCCTGAAGGCCTTTGGGGGGTCTGGGGCTCCTCACAGGTCAATGGTTAAGGGAACTGGGACTCATCCCAAGAAGCTCGGCAAAATTTAGCTATAACTGATAAACATGGCTAAGCGAAAGGACAGTTGTGTCAGTTTGTACTTGGAGCACCCTCATACCACGATTACAGAAGACATAATTACAGTTCTTATAGTAGTTGAACTGTCATCAGGGATGTCACTTTCTAAAATCGGTCGGGGGCTGAAACGATGCGGTTAGCCTAACCTTCCCTCAAAATCTGACTTTTTCCCAGATTTTGGCCACTTTAATTTACATCCCCGGTGCTAAAAGTTGATTGAAAACATCTTACATTGGTTCCAACATGGGGTGCATCACCATCGACAACCAACCAGAAAATCAACTAGCTGCAGCAGGTCCAGCTGTTGAGCCGTTCAGCGGCACCTGTTCAGCTGTTCAGATGTTCGGCTGCATTTTAGCCCCTGAAATGTCCGGGGCCATCTGCAGCACCTTTTGTCGGTACCATTAGGCGGATGCGGAATTAATGGTGAGTGTCGTCGTCGCTGTCCGTGTTTTGTGAATTGACGCCCTAATACCAGCACAGTCACGATTGTGCGACAAATACACTTGCCACTGTTGACGGAAACACGGATAAATTTCATCTAGGTCACCCTGTGCTTTCAAAGTCTGGCACTTATTACATCCAATTGTTCTTTATGCCAACCAATGTGTTAGGTATCATGTGCAAAATTGTCTTGTGTTTCTTTGGCCCAGCACTCTCTTTTTGCTCATATGCATTGAGTGGGCTCAGGGTTGCGGAGAGGGGGCTTGAATCAGCAATGGATGGCTTCAGGCGTCCACAGGGGCCAGGCATGCAGCGGCGCACGCTGCACTGCAACAGCGCAATCCCTTGGCGTAAACTGCTGCCACCACGAGAGAGCAGCCGCCTGCCGCAGCCGTCGCAGCAGCAAGCAGAGGGATATCGGAGACGACCGACGGGATTTAGGTGTAAAAAATGATGACGAAGATGAAAGGAACTCGAGGAATGGGACGGGTAATTGCCGGTATTATTGCGCCCAATGTCTCTATAGACTTGTAGCATTGTGCGCCAGGCGTCTGTAGTTCTATAACCCTATGAACAGCGGAAATGCATAAGTCGTTCCAAATTTGAACTTTTGTCCCTCATTTGAGCTACAATTTGGCCCCGTGACCCCAGAACAAGTCCAGAAATGGTCACTGCGCGGTTGATAACCGCGAAAAAGGCGTTTTAAACGACCAGCTATGTCATCGAGATAAAAAAGTGTTAACATTCCAGCTGGCGGTGCCATCTTTAAGATGAATAGCATGCCATCTTAGATTCCGATCATTTTCGACGTTGCACGTATAGCAACCGAGCTAATCTAGCTTTCCTTACTGTGAAGGACATATTTGCGTGAAAATCTTGCCATATTTTACATCGCGGAGTCAACATTTTTGCAACCTTAACATACCTGCAAACAGTACAACCTTCAGCTACATATGCAGTGCTAAAATGATGGCGTTAGTTATGCTTTTCAATTTTGATGAGCGACTCCTAAATGAGCTCCTTTCCGATGATTTGATCTAACCCAACCATGGAGTAAATTATAGCACATGATAGGGGAGCTGCATGGATATTTTATTTTTGCATGGAATACCTTGCATCGTAAGCACCCTGAAAGCGCTGGGATGCGCAAACAACATACGCTCGTCCCCGTTTTTTTTT